CGTCCCGTTTTGCATGTTTCTCGGAAGCAAAATGAGCAAGAACGCTCGTTTTTACATCATTCCAGAGATAACTAAATGGTCTTTATTCGAAGTTTCTCACAGAATTCGTTTTGGCATCGTTGAATAGAGAATTGAAAACTCGATTCAGTCGTAACAACGTGAGTGAGGAAATTCGAGTGGTTTTTGACCCACAAAGCGAAATTTGAATATCAGACACTTAGGTGCAAGATTATGCCAAATTTCCATGTTTGCCGTCCCGTTTTTGCTCATTTTTCGGAGGCAAAATGAGCAAGAACGTTCATTTGTACATCATTCTAGACAGAAATAAATGGCCTTTTTAGAAAGTGAACCATCGATAAGGAAATGTTGGCAGTTTTCTGAAAAAATGCTTGAATTCAAGAAGTTTTAGGTTTGCGTGGTTTTTTTTGAGTTGCAAAATCCACTTGAACATGCCGCTGCTTTTTTCGAGGTTTCTTAAGAACCATTCGAGCCAGAGAATTCGTTTTGGCATCGTTAGATAGAGAATNGGGGGGGGTCATGATCCCCATGACCCCCCCTTGGATCCGCCCTTGGTCTTAAGGGCCCATTTCTGACATATACAACATAAACAAGTTCAGCTGCTTTAGTCACTTGCAATATTGAATGTAACTTAACAAGGCAAACTTTTCAGGTGTCCACATTTCGCCCACTATGCCACTACCGAAATGCCCTCAAGAACCTGACGATGACGTGTTCATGGTTCGTATGACGCTCAAAAATGTTCGCACATGATTTTATAGTGTTTTATTTTCGAAATTAGACCCTGGATCTGCCACAGGAGCCGAAAGACTCGCGAAGTAGCACCGACTCGAACAGCAGCGGCAAAAGTGGAAGCGCCGATCCCTTGAAGGCCGGCAGAATAACGTACATCGGCCGGGATAAGCCAACGGAACCGCATCGACAGCCGGTGTTTGAGCCTCCCAAAGGTGATACCTTGTATATGCGAAAATGCGATTGAGTGTGATGAATGGGGTTGTGCTTTAGGTACGTCGGAGTACGTGCAATTGCAGGCTCGACATGAGTATTTCTACGTGGAGAACCCGCTGAGCCAACAGCCGCCCCTGCCGCCTACTTGGGAGTCGCCCACAGTGCTGAAAAAGTCGTCGCCGCCTCTTCCGCCTCAACCACTGGCCGATGTGTTCAAATCCGTCATTAAGCGACCGCAACATTTCATCTGTGTACATTGCAATGAGGTGCGCGCTTGATTTGATCGTTTATAGTGCTGGGAGGAGAGTAACTATTCGTTACTCGCGTACTCGTTACTCATCCGGATCTAACGAATACTGATCGAGTAACGAGTCGCTGGGACTATTCAAAAGTAACCGAGCCTCACACCACGAATTCTTTCGCTTGCAGCCTTTCACTAGAGACCAAAACAAGCGGGGTTCATGCAAATACGCCCCCGACACCGCTCAGTCAATCGTAAACTATCTGACCTGCATTCCTTTCATCAACTGTACGATGTATCACTGCGCTTCCGACTCCGAGGGCGACTTTGAGCCGAATCCCTGCAGGTGAGTGATTGGCGCTTTGCCCTCCCCAATCAGCACATTAATTGCTGTGGGTTTCAGATGCAACAGCGACGAAGATCCATCTTACTGCTGCTCGCGGCGCTGTCTCTGTGTTTCGGTCTGTAGCGCCTTTTGTCCCTGTTTATGGCTGTACTGGCCTTGTAAACTGTTTCACTGTTGTGGGGTGCGATGCGGCCTGTGGGGCACCAAACACAAAGCCACCACTGAAGGGGCATGACCTTGGGAAAGTGAATTGAGCACGGAGTTTAGTTTTGTTTAAGCGGAATCCGATGTACAGTCCAGTGGCCAAGTCGCGTGCAGCGATTAAACGTGCATTTATGAAGACCCGGTGGCAAGTTCATGTGAAAGGTAAACGTTGTTATTTTGCTAAGTTTGATTAGGTTCCTCTGCATTTGGAATGGTTTTCCGGTGGGGTTTCAAACGGTTTAAAACCAGCTATCAGTAGATTTCAAATCGGTACTGATTCAGTTGTTCCATTTGATTCCATCTTCTGCAGTATTTTCACGGTATTCTCCGGGCATTTTCATCGACTTCGACACTTCATTCCATTTCCCCGTTTTCCTGCCAACAAGCGGGCATTGTTGCGCAAAATGGATTATTACTGCCACTTGCCATTCATAAAATTGTCTTATGAAAACCGGAAAACTTTGGAAACTTAGGATGTATTTATGCTGTAACTTAATTTTATGCTTTTACAAACGACTGTGATTTTAATCTTAAGACTTCTCTATGGTAGTATGGTTTTGGGTGCACATGTGGTGTCTATTTGCACAGGATATTCCAACCCCGGTAGAACGTCCTGTTCATACTCAATCAATCGTTTGGTTTCATTAGTACATTCGGATGGGAAGTTTTTTCTTTTATGATTCCCCTTGCCAGGAGGAAGAAAAACAAGACGCAAGCGTAACCATGCCTTTGTTCATCTTCTCCGCTGTTATCTAAAAGTAGCAATCCGGATGTTTACAAGCTTGAGATGTTACGGATTGTGAACCTCTTCTTTTCCCTCCTAAGGCGTTTGTTTTCCTCCAAAGTTCTCCTTTTCCGGTCATCAACTAGGAACTTGGGCATCGTCATTTTTTTGCCCTCGAAAGGAACTGTTTTAATCCAGGCTGTCCGTTTTGTGGTCTGTGTTCTGATTTAAAAAAGAACGGTTTATGGACAACGTCTTCAAAACAATTCAACAAAATGTTCGGATCAATTTTTTTTTAAATTGATCAGCGTCGCGCCTACAGTAACGTTTTTGTGGTCCGTTTTGTCTTTAAAATCAGCACCTCGATGCCCAGACTGATCAAAGGCATGGTCCGCTCTCGATCGCATGTGATGCTTGGGAGGATGAAAAAAAGTCAATAGCAAAGCCGCAATAAACGAGGAAATTGTTTTTTCGGTTGCAAGCAGCCAAGTCGACTATACCTTGGGCAAGCTGTAAGGCGGCGTCCAGACCTAACAAGCCGAAGATCAGGACAGAATATGGATGGTCCGTGGGTGTTTTGGAGGAATATTAAAAGAATTTGTCGCGGATCACGCTTGGCTCGTCAGATCTGGACGCACCATTAGATTAAATTGCGAGTCAAAATTGCATCCGATCAACGGAAGATGATATGCATTGTTTGTGTATTAAACAGATCCAACCCCCTTTAACAGTACTAGTTCCTCAAGACTGTTCAGCTCTCTTTTGCCTAGTCTTTTAGTTGCCTAAACAACTGTCGACGGAATTTCCACATTTTTGCACATATACAAATCGATTAACTAGCGATAACGTCGAATATACTATACGTAATGATAGTGAATGTTAACTTGTAATTTGTAAATAGAAATAAATGTTTATTATGAAGTAGCTGCCCGGCCCTTAAACCTACGTCGATGCAACAGTTAGTAGATGTTTAAAGAATACCGCAGGTGTCGGAACTGCAACTTTATTTACATTAAACATGGAAACACAATATAAAAACACCCGCATAGATTCCTTGTCGCTACCTATACATTGTACTGAATTTACCAAGGCCATAGCAAAAAATGCCAGCTATTCGAGGGATGAAGAGTGAACACGCTTTGTAGCGCTGAAATAATGGAAATGGACGTAGAGGTTTGATAGCAGTGTGACTATAAACGAAATCTGTGATTATACATCCACGCGGCACACATAAACAAACGACATGAACACAATTATAAAGTTCCTAAATAATTTATTGCCCAAACCCAGAAGTGAATGTCAGAACGACTACTACCATTTTTCGCTAGCAAGGCCCGTAAGACTTTACTCCACGTCATCTTCAAAAAAGTCCTCGTTGGGGGGTTGAGCCTTCAATAAGCGCGGGGCAATCACAGGCAGTCTTTTGATCAGCATGTGAAACACCTGCGGCTGCAAAGTCTGCTGCAGCACCTGTAGCAGATCGTTCGGCTGGCCGCAAACAGCCACAGCGTTTCCTAAGTGTTCGACGCCATTGTCAGTGTCGCCAGCGGCAAGAAGCTCCTCTCCCAGCTGAATCTCTTGCAGGAAGAATCGCTGTACGGCTTCGTGGTCTTTCATGTCGGGAAATACTGTCGTGCATCGTTTGCTACCCGACGCCTCCTTTTGTGCCCGACGACCTTTGTAAAAAAGTCGTCAGCTAAGGGCAGTAGTGGACGCGATGGCCCCCTTCATTTCACCTAACCTATAACTTACGTTCTCGCAGTTTCCTCTGGAAATCGGGATCACTGTGGCGCTTTTTATCGAAATATATGCAATATCCGATGAAGATGCTCGCCGAAACGCCTGCACACAATCCTAAGACGGTCTTTGGGGAAACCATGGCTCTTTTTCGGCTACTCTAACAACCTACACCAACATGTCGCTTCCACGCGCTTGACAGTTTTGACCACTTTGACGTGACGTTCATAGATAAAGACGATTATGTCGCTTTTTATGCGCCTGAGCGTTTAAAAATGTTTTCTTTTTTGTTGTGCAGCTTTGTGAGAAAAAAACCGACAGAAACATACTTTTCTTAAAAAATTGGGCCAAAATCGACATTTTTTGCTAAACTGGGTGCAGCGTTGCCAGGCTGCAACAAACCTTGTATGTTGAATGAAATTATTTATGTAGCGGCTCTGTAAAGTTTTATTTTTTCCAATCAAGGTGGGTGGAAACGCGTTGGCCTAAGCGTCAATTCACATTCATTTCCGGAGCTTGAATCAATTAAATTAATTTTTTTAAAATGCCTGACAAACCTGCCAGACCACCTGGCAACACCACCCCACGCCTCAGTTGCTCTGAACTGTCACTACCGTCACTATAGTTTACCACCTACGGCGCTGCATTCGAGTCTCCATCCTTTCTGTTTGCAAATCGTGCCAAGATGGTGAGTTGTATTGAATAAAATCCCCTTAAATTTCAAACATCTTGCTGCAAATTCCACGTTTAGCTCGGTGGCTTTATCAATAAAACTCCCGTTAACCTGACAATGTTAATATCAGGACTGATTTCTTTTTAGGGTATCGACATTAACCATAAATACGATCGGAAAGTTCGGCGTACGGCCCCCAAGAGCCAAGATGTCTATCTACGTCTCCTGGTTAAAGTAAGTGGATTCAGGAAACATTCAAGACAATCTTCTAGAAAAAGTGCGCTCGTTTTTTTAGCTTTATCGGTATTTGGCTCGTCGTACCGGAGCGAAGTTCAACAAAATCGTCCTGAATCGCTTGTTTATGAGCCGAATTAACCGGCCTCCACTGTCGCTGGCCAAATTGGTCCGCCACATGAAAAAGCCCGGCCGTGAAGGACTAACGGCAGTTGTTGTGGGCACTGTAACTGACGATTCGAGGATCGTCAACCTGGGGTCGAACAAGGAGTTCCCCAAGCTGTCTTTGTGTGCTTTAAGGGTAACGGAGAAGGCCCGTGCTAGAGTGCTGAAAGCTGGTAAGTCTTTTAAACAATTGCTTGGTTAGACTGGACGCTGCATGCAAATGTTTCAATGCTGTGATCGAGTAACACGTTTTTGGCCAGGTGTTCATATGCACCTTGTCTCGTTTCGCTTTCTTTTTAATTTTTCCTTAAGGGTCCTATACATTTCAGCAGTTTCAGTTTAAAAAATAATGCCGATTGTCTAAATATGCCGGAAAATCACTTTCAACTTCTTTGGGAAAGTTATGTTTTAACGACCCAGTATTGCCATTAAAAATGAGGTTGCCCAGGGCTGTTTAATGTTGTGAATGTTAATGAATCTTGTTTTAAGGACTACAATCCATAGTTCGACCCATGAATGTTAAAATTAGTCCTCGTTACCTGCGTATCTTTTAAAGAGGAGTTTTACCTTAGCAGGACTAAAGTTTCGCAACAAATGTTTCTGGCTTTTAAAGGAAAATTGAAATGAAGAAAAGCGAATCAACACGTAAATTACTTCAGCATCTTTTCTAAATGTCGATGTTGATTTTTCAATTTGAGAGTTGTAATTCGACTCTCGCGCCTTCTTCAGCTCCATTACGATGAACTAATGCGGGAGCTTCGAGATCCATTAAAAAAACGCTCTGAACCAATTTGCCTCTTTTACAGTAGCGAAATTCGCTACTGCGTAGTTGTTACAAGCGCCCCCTTTTTTAAGTGCTGAATCCGATTTCGCAGCTTTTAAGAAGGTATGTGCGTTTGAATTAAATTTGCCCACACTAGCAGGCCATCGGGTTTCGATGTTATGATGAATCTTGCATCAGATTTTCTTTATGAAAACATGTTGTCTAAACAAGTGGACGTAATTCTGAAACAACACGCAAACCGCATTAATTTCAGCCGCTCGATTGTCGTCGTTTAACGCTTTGCTATTGGTTTTTAGGTGGCGAAGTCATCACATTCGATCAACTGGCATTGAAGGCCCCAACCGGTACCAAAACCGTTCTTCTGCAAGGACGCCGCACTGCCCGAGAGGCCAACAGGCACTTCGGTCCTGCTCCTGGTGTGCCCCACAGCCACACGAAGCCGTTTGTCCGCTCAAAGGGACGCAAATTCGAAAGGGCTCGTGGTCGCAGGAAGTCATGTGGCTACAAGAAGTAGATCCTTTTTTGGGCTGCTTGTGCAACTGGTGCGCAACAGCACTAGTTTACTACTGGTGGGTGTAAAGGACTCTATTGCGGCGCAACATAGTCCTAAGTACCCTTTTAAAGCTAGTAAAGAAAATAATAAACAAAGGAAGTTACAGTTACGTTTAATTTTTCCTTTTCCTTTGCGTTTATTTCAATGTTTCGGAAGTATTCGATATACGAAAAAACGAAGGTAAGACTGCACGCCAACGTTGCCACTTGTAGGGGCTCTTATGTCGTTTTCAGTTGAGAGCTTTGTAAACATTGCTGACGTGTGTGTCAAATGCAAATCTGCGGTGGGTTTTAAAAGTGGTTTTCTTTATTCGGTGGTTAAAAATGGTTCAGAAAGTGAAAATCAACATCAAGTCGAGGATTTCGGATGATCAACTCGACCTGAGCATGTCCGATTTGGACGAAGTCCCAATAAAAGAAATCGTAAGCAAACTAACCCAGCCACATACCTACCTACCAATCTGTTGGTCATTTCAGGCTGCTTTGAGGAAGATCCACAGCTTGGACTTGTCGAACAATCGCTTAACTAGTCTGCCGGTGAGTTTCCTGCCTCTTCCTATTGAAAATTTCCCCCAAACTACTGGCATTTTTGCAGAGTGCCTTTGCAAGTCTAACATTCCTGACAAAACTGCATCTGAGCGAAAACGGGCTCACTGAACTGCCAGAGGATTTCGGAAGTCTGTGCAAGCTCCGATACTTAGACCTGTACAAAAACAAATTGGAAAGACTGCCTTTGAGCTTCAGCCAACTGGTTGGCTTGAAGTTCCTCGACTTAAAGGACAACCCTCTCATCCCAACTATTGCCAAAGTAGCCGGTCCTTGCGTCGACAATAAAGGGTGAGACACATTTACGTGCGAACTAGCCCTAGGAAGTTTTTGGGTCATTTTTAAGGTGCCAACAATGCGCCAAGGATGTGGTACATTTCTTCAAACAGCTGGAGCAAGAGGTGGAGTCGCGTAAGCAGGTCAGACAGAAACTGCTGGAAATCAACCAGCAGGAGAAACAGGCAGAGAAGAAAAGGCTGAAGAAAGAGCGACAAAGCAAGACAGCAATTAAGGAGGTTCAAGTGGTGAAAAACAGCACAGCAGCTGAAGTGCCTCAGTTGGTTCCAGCTAATAGCAAAAAGCCTTTGAAGTCTCTTGCAGGTTCAGCAAAAAGCCCGTTGTTTTCCTGGTTTGTCTATTCGATTTTTCTGCTGCTGGTACTGCTGTGGTTCTTGTTCTCTTGGAGGGTGTCGTTGGCGCAAAGTTTAGCACCTAAAATCGGCGAGGTTTATGAAAACCTCCTGGACCAGTTGCCTAGTAATTATAGGGCGTTAGCCCAGTCTTTTGGGGATTCAATCATAGCCCTACAGGTGGGCACACGGAACATATCAAGGCAGTGTGCAGATGTTGTGTACAACAGTGAAATAGTGCAGACTGTGTTGATTAAAGTGTACAATTTAATTGGGAAGAACACTAGTTAGTCCCCTAGTGCAAGGGCGAATAAATGCTTTAACTACTTGTTGCTCCAAACGAGCAGTGTTGATGGAGTTTTCCCCCATTTCCTATTGCGTATCGATCAAACTTTCTTAGGTGGTTCAAAAACAGGCACAAAATGTCGCACAAATACTATGACGAGCAGTTTTGCGAAATTCAAGACTGTCTTGTTGCCACCCTTAATTCGGAACCAGCTCAGGCCGATAGAAGGGAAAACAGACAGCTACTTGCCGGCCTGTACGTGCGCTATATTACGATTGCCAATAAGTTGGGAACCTGCGTGGATCAGATGGTGCAACCCCAGAAAAGACTGTTGCTCAGAAAACTGCTCGAAGCAACTCTGGGGAGGATTTTGGAGCTGAAGGTATTGTTACAAAAGTTAATTGTTCTGAGAAGTGATTTTTTCCAAGACTGACTTGGTGGAAGCGGATCTTAGCGAGTGGACGCACTGCGGGGATATCTTGGAAGATCTACGTATCACCCCCAATGACTCTGAACTTGAAATTCCTGCGTGCTTCCGAAGGGAAAGGGAGCAGGAGATCAACTGCAGAAAAGGGGTCATTGACGACGTACTAAACAAGCTGGGGTTTACCGACGAAGTAACCGAGTCTTTTACTCTTGAGTGGACGTAATGACACAAAGTCCCTTGCTAGGTGGATGAGCGGCTGCCAATGAGCGAGCAACAAGCTATTCTGGTCATTCAAACTCATGAGCGGGCCAGACAGGGGCGACTACGGGCGCAATTCATGAAAGAGATCCGAAGCATGAAGGACAAGAACAAGCCGGTGGTGACGGGTAAGTAATGGCGATTCTTCTGATCTAAACCTCTGACAAAATACTGGCGCCAACAAGAAGAAAGCGAAGGAGACGAGCAACAATTGGGAGTAAATTTGGCAGCCGCCGTCAAGATTCAGAAGATATGGAGGGGATACATGGCGCGCCGCGCCACTAGAAGGCAAAAGCTGCAGGAAATGCTTCTGATTGGTGAGCCACTTACTTAAAACTTGGTTTTGAATACTCAAGCCGGCGGTTTAGGGATGATTCCGCCGCCCAAAAAGAGAAATGAAGAAATTGAGAAAGACCTGGAAAATCAAGAGCGACGGAGGCAATTGCAAATTCAACGACAAGAGGAGTATTCGCAGGATATTAAGAAGATTAGGAGTCATTTGGAGAAGACCCAAAGGTACTGTCAAATAATCGTTGATTCTCGTGTCATTTCGTTTTAGAGCCAGTCTTTTGTTTATCGTTGGTTCGGACGGTCGCTGTGCGATTCGCTCCGCTAAGATTTTGAAAAATCCCGATTTTTTTTCATTTTTGGGCCGAAAGTTGTAGATATTATGAAAAACTAACAGTTTCTGGTTGGTTGCGTGATATTTTCCCGATTGGTGGCGCGATTTTACGGGAAAAGTGTGGAATTTTAACTTGGGGAAGTTTCTGACGTTTATCTGCTAGATTGTTGCCATTCGCCTGCTTGAAATCATGGCTGAATTTCATTGACGTTTAACTGCGTAGTTTGGGGGCTTTTCGGGAGTTTATCTAGTCGTTTTGAGGGCTGCGCCTAGATGGTTTAAGCGGTTGGATATGGAAACGAGCAGCTTAATTGCAGGTAAGGTTTAGAGCATTTCCCCGTTTTGTCGGGAAACCACGCTGATAAAACACTAGTTTAAGCGGACAAGTTTGTGGATTGTCCATTTAAATTGGCTTGAACGAGGGGCCGATGCTTTCCTTTGCGATTTGTCGTACAAAATTGGTCTAAACATCACAAACGTGTTTTTTTTCGCTAACTAAACGCGCTAAGTAGCTTTTCAGCTCAAAATCGTCGTGTTTGTTGGAATTTAGGAAGTTTAGTGCAAATTTATTTTTAGCTAGTTTCTCTTCGGAAATTTAACTTTGTCGTACAAAGTTGGTCTAAACATCACAAACGTGTTTTTCTCGCTAACTAAACGCGCTGTATCTTTTCAGCTGAAAATCGTCGTTTTTGTTAGAATTTAGGAAGTTTTGCGCAAATTTATTTTTCAGCTGGTTTCTCTTCGGAAATTTAACTTTGTGGTACAAAGTTGGTCTAAACATCATAAACGTGTTTTTCCCGCTAACTAAACGCGCTAAGTATCTTTTAAGCTCAAAATCGTCGATTTTGTTGGAATTTAGGAAGTTTTGTGCAAATTTATTTTTCAGCTGGTTTCTCTTCGGAAAT